CTTAAGATGTTACAAAAGTAACACAGGCAAGATCCTACTTGTGTACCTCGTTATACGGGCTAAACTTTTTTCCAATTTTAAGATGTTTCATACCAGACGTAGTTACTGTAATCTTACTTGCTGGTTGTTGTTATATCGCTACACAAAACGGCCTAAACTGGGGAAAAACTGATAACCGAGAAAGTTTTTAGTTCAAAAGTAACAAGTGCCTTTGATGTGTTTTTTTTTTCGAACACCCCCTGGGAAGGACCTCAAACTGTCTCACGTTATGAATACTAGCTCCACTGGAATCCATCTAGGACATTATCATTTAAACAGATGGAAAACTTTATTTGTAGATTGTGTAAATAATGTGTAGATATACATTGTAATATACTTAAGAGACGCTTTATTTTTATACTTATGTAAATAATTGTTTGAATACATGTATAAAAAAAATATACCATTTGTAGACCTATAAGTTTTGTAATATGTATTTCTTTGAAACCATTCAGCTCTGATGCGTACCTGACATACTTTAGGGACAGTAAATGTGACTGGGTATCGAACTGACCACACTACCCCTTTATAAGCCAAGGTTACAGAAAAAAGGTGAATTCTTCTTCACATGTCGCACTAGTCAGGCAGTCGGAATGGGTAGCCATCTACAGTTTTGTTGATCGAAATCTGATTTTTAACAGTAGCTAAAAATTGTTCTTTATTTTCATTTAGGTTTACCTCTAAACTAAATCAAATAAAAATTTATTCTGTGTTGTATTTTTGTATAATCCATTTCTCTCGGTGTCTGTGTAGCCTCTTGAGAATTGTTGCAAACCAAATGCATAATTTGGTAGAGAAATATGACATGTTTTGTTTTCCATATGACATATATATTTTTAAACATAGGACTACTTTTTAAAAATTAATTGCTATTATAAAGATTAAGTTTAATAATTATTTTGATGTTTTGTTAAGTTTAACAAATTTATTTTATTCACAATTATTGTGCGTAAAACATGTAAACAAAACCATTTTGACAGTCAATAAAAAAAGTTCGAATTAACTAAAATCATTATAAATAGGCTTATTATATATATATATAATATAACCATATTTTTCTTTCGTTATCACAATTTAATAGCTAATTCAACAAGAATTAATTCATTATAAGTAAATTTAAAATACAAATACACAAATGTTTATAGTAAATTTGTATACACCCAATGTTTAATCAAATCAACTACTACTAAATTCAGTAAAATAATTTAATTGTTTATAGTTTAAGCAACCTCTTAACATCTTTATGAACAAAATGGTGCACAATTAAGTACTGGTTGTCGTTATTGTCGTCGTAGATTTAAACGGCAGTAACTGATAATAAATAAGTAAATGTGTAGGCCTACTCATACAAACGTATATTTTATAATTACTAATTAAGTTGATTCTGCTTTAGAAAGTGATTTTGTTAAGACAATTTAAAAGCAGATTGTATATGTCATAACTGCCAATCTTGAAGACTTTCAGCTTACAAGTTTGAATGTTATTTTGTTAAGAATAATAAAAATAAAATGTGTGTATTCAGTTTTATAGTATGTAAACGGCTAGATGTTTGCTTATGAGTATTTGCCAATACGTAAATAACTTAGAATATATATATATATATATATATATATATATATATATATATATATATATATATATATATATATATATATATATATATATATATATATATATATATATATATATATATATATATATATAGTATTTACTATCTTCGTCTTCTTCGTGGACATGAACAGGAATCGAAATTTGAGACTTTACTGTGTAAAATAAATGAATTATTAGTTAATTATAATTATTACTAATGATGAATATTCGACATTGTTGATTGTATTTACAATAGTGTGACAGATACTGACAGTATTGATACACTATATAACGATATAAAACCATATTATGATATAATGTCTCTATCATTAGGTTCGCACTCATTGCATTAATTGAAAACATAAAAATATAAACAGGGAGCGATCTCCCCTAAACTTTCTCGAATATTCTTTTATAAAAAACAGGGGGTGGGAACACTCGGGATATAGACATGAATTTTAATCCATTTTAAATACTTAAACTTTTTAAAATAGAATAAAATCTCGTAGAAAAAAGAATTGCACACTTGTGAAAAAAAAACTAAAACGTGCATAATAGTGCGGAATATTATTAGTACTTTATAAATTTACATTCGTTTTTTGAGAAATCGGAAGTAGCGTAAATTACTACTTCCGGTCAACGGAAATTACTCAAAATTTGACAGATGGTAGAGAATTAGATCTTTTACTTACATTTGAAATGTAATTTATCTATCTGAAATTGTACTCAAGTTATAGGCTTTTTAAAAAATCAAAGTAGAAAAAGTATCACTTCCGGTTATGAACCCTATAATCAGAGGAAGACCTGTATTCACAAATAGGAAATATTGTTTAAAAGTCTAGGAGAAATATGTCAATCCATGATTTACAATTGTTTAAACAGTAAGTTTACATGTTGTCAAATGCTTAAAATACATGGGTGAACTAGTCTGGTTGTGTAGAGAAAATGAAGTTACCCCATCCCACGAGTGATCCCTTGAGGTAAAAACATTGAATTTCTGTATAGAAGACTTGAACCAATGACTGATACATATAGAACGAGTTTACAGCACTCCAGAATATAGTGGTAAGTAGCGCTAAGTGCTGTACCGCAGCCACCGCCTGTATTTTTGTCATTGATGGAATTATAAGTTGCAGTCGGTGTTTGTTAAACTATAAATTGAAATTTTTACAAATAGACATTTTAAATATAAATGAGAAAAAAAAATCATTTTATTTTTGTAAATACACATAGTTAATTTAATAGTTCTCCTTAATTTCAAATGTCAGCTGGATTATATTAGTAAGATTTATTCTAAATGATTGATTTGCTTACTTTTGCGCTTTTATCTATTTATTTAGCAAATAAAAAAATCTGCAGGTACTGTATAAATTTTATTCATAAATTTTTCAACATGTGAAAACGGGCTTATTTTGCTGCCCTATAACTTTTTCTAATTTTTCTAATCATTACTTTTCAAAATTCAAATTAAACCTTTAAATTTAATTTGCTTTTATTTATACTTGTTTACATAGTGTATCTGGTACAGCTCTGTTATTTAAAAAAAAAGTCATGATAGCTTTTATAAGCGCAATTATTCGTTGCGTATTTTCCTGTTGGCCCTAAGTCGGCAAGCTAAATGTAAGCACAAGGTCATGAATGTTTGCCTATTTTTTTCCACTTCGCGGATTTTCTTCTTTAGTATTTTTTCCCACGTTTTCTTTAACTTGCTTTCTCTGTTTGTTTGTTTGTTTGTTTTTCCAATCAAATCTTGCGATCGAAATTTCTGGCACTTCCCAGTTAGCTAGCGCGCTGAAATTTTCAGGGAAGCTTTCTTTTGGATGACCATAGAATATTCAATTGTTATTATTACTAAATTGATCAATGGAAACATTTTATTGAGCATTTTAGACCGCTATATAATCTATATATATATAATTCTCCTCTTCGAGCCAATAGAAAAAAAAACGAGCGACGCGTAGCTCGCCTCTCTCTTGCCGCGCGCAGTGAAGCGAACGATCCCACGTCGCGACAGGCTTAGGGGCAGATAATTTAGTTTGAACCGACTTTAAACTTACAGGAGGTAACTATTACCACTGGTGGCCAGTTTGGGGGAGACGATATGGTCGAGTGGTTGGGCACACGATTGCTATCCCACTCGACACGGGTTCAAATCTATGTGTTCTAGTCAGTAACCAGCCCTCGTCCTAACCGCTATCAACTAACCTCTGACAATCATTCACTTGCGATTGAGACCGAAGAAGAAAGGGTCTCTCGTTTTTTACGAGTTGTCTTTTTACGAGTTGTCTTCGTTTACCCCAAAAAAGTGAAAAGATAAAATCGATAGCAAGATTTCAATGCAAACAAACAGACAAAGACTAAAAAGTAGAAAATAATAATCATTAAAAAAGTTTTTAAAAACCCACGTTTTCTGATTGAAAAACGTGGGGCGCCGTGATTTTCTTACAGTTTCTAATACTGTTGACTCTCTACAAGCTCCCTAATAAAAGTCAATAGTATTATCTAATCAATAGTAATATAACTTTTACTTCGGCGCCCCACGTTTTTCATCGCTTATAGTAGAGTGATCGCTTGCATTATTGTGATGTATAGTATTTATTTTCTACTTTTTAGTTCAATCAGAAAACGTGGGTTTTTAAAAACTTTTTTAATGATTAATATTTTGAAACAGCATGCACAGCAAAGATAGTTTGAGCATAGCATTGTTTTTGCAAATGCATAGATTTAGGTTTACCATAATAACATTTTAGTTTACTTTTTTAAAAAAGTTTGATTGTACGCTCCATAAGCAGTTTTTCCTCAATCCATTCTACGGTGGTCTGAGGCATTTGGTTCAGGAACTTCCCACATTATTCTTAACACTAAATGACGATTTAGAAAATCGCCACTCCTAAGCCTTGTGATTCACGATGGCCCCAAAACTCCAATCACAGTTTTCCTAAATAGATTAATGCATCCGTGATACTTTCATGTAAATTATTTTCTATTTCCTTCTTCTCTGCTTTTGCAACACCCCATAATATGTCTCTGCCTTTAAACAGCATGATATTTCGTATTTGTGACATTTATAGCAATACGATTGACTTGCATAATTCCTCGCATACTTGCTAACTTGTAGTAGCCAAATCAGCGATAAAACAAGTCATTTTTTAATAACATGTACATGTAACTATTATTTGTAAAAATGAAGTCAATAAATACATTTTAATAGCATATGTTTATTTCAATTTCAATTACAAGAATAGAATTAATTAAAATAACTTAAAACCGTTAATTTACTTTGGTAAGCAAAATGAAAATTAATTATTACCAGTATAATGGGTATAAATTGTTATCAAACGATTTATAATTTATAATGGTCAATGGTTTTACTTAGTTTTACTAAAACATATACAACGATTATTATATATAAAAGGATTCAGTTTTTAAAATACAATTTAATGAAAATAAGAACATAGTGGTGTTTGAAAATGAAGGAAGTTTGAAAAATAAATTGTAAAAAATAAAGTAAATAATCAAAAGCAAATATCTCTTTTTCATTATTACCTCTTAGGATACATACAGTATACATAATATATATTATAATAAGCCAGTAAACTATAAAGAAATTAAATGATTCTTTATTAGAAATTAGTTACGACGTGACAATATTTTGATTCTACTAAACCATCGCAATAAATTCAGATCAAGGTAGTAGTACCCGGTTGGTAACATTTAAAAACAAAACAAAAACAACTAAAAATACTAGCGGCTCGGCTAAATTCTTATTATCTGTGATGGAGCTGCATTTACTACTTTTGAGTTAAGTGTTTTATAAAGTAAAATGTTACTTCTCAATTACATACTTTCTTTTTCAAAAACATGATAAACTACTTACACAGTGCTCTTAATCTCGGCATTGGAACTCATCTGTGTGCTATAAATGGGTTCTATAGGCAATAATAAAAGTGTTATTCAAACAAAAATGTAATGCTAGAAATAATTCAATTTCTATAAATATATAGGAAAACTTGACTTACAGATAATTACATCACAAGATATTTCTACACTAATTCTTTGTAAATTTTATTTACCTTGATGCCTTTGCTACCGAGTCAACACTCTCAGTGATGAACACATATAAAAGATGGTCGCAATTAATTTGCTTATTTTTTTCTGACTACTTTCGGTTCTAGCTGTCTTGAATCTGTAATAGATAAATATTATAGACGATTAGATTGTTATGTTCAAAGGGTGTTTAGGTCAAATTTTGTTGTGTTAAAATTTAAAGAAGAGTATACTTTTAAACTTGTGGCAGATTTCGCCTGTTTCTACGACCTCTCCATTAGCAGGAAGAACATAAACGTCCCTCATTTATTTTGATTAAAGATACTCGATTTCTATCGTTCGTCCACACCTTCACATTACCGTCGTTAAAAGGGGGAAACAAAAAATTTATCATTGAGAAAAACAAAATACTTGTGTCTTTCAGTCCAAGGTGACAATGTTATTGAAATTAACATAATAAATAAATAATCACAATGAAATTTTGGTAAAAAGCTCAAGTTCAATTGAAGTTCACAAATTACATGTAAGCAGGTATGGAGTGGTTGTGTCCAAGGGGCCCAGGAAACTTTAAAACTGGCTCACAATTTTAGATTGAAATTTTCATTGTGCATTCAAATTAAATTTTACGCCTTGATATAAAGGAATGGGAATGGTAAAATGGAGAAATAACAACAAATTGTTTTTAAAAATCAAAACACTTTTAGGACTTATAGTTTCCGGGGGCCCACCGGGATTTTCCCCAGAAGACCTGTGGGTCAGTCGACCAATTTTACTTTTAACTTTTTCATGTTGGTTTTAAAATTACCTTGATCTGTTGATGCTCTTGAAATTTCTTCAAATAAAAATATAAATGAATAGAATTAGACTAACAAAACATGTTGAGTTAATTTAGAAAAACGTGAATTTTAATAATTCACTATATTAAGCTTTAATAAAATAGATACGCTCAAATAGTATTTAATTCTTAGCTTCCTTTACTTTTCCCGACTTAACATTTGTACCAACTAGCACATCAGTAATCTTAAGCTCTCTCAATCTTTCGACCACATAATCAGATCCATTTTCAAAGGTAAAAAAATAATGTAACATTGATAATAAAAAAAAAAATGCATTTAAATTTTTTTTATTAATAAAATAAAACAATAATTTTTAATACGACTTTGAAAACATTATACATCTGTAAAGACCCAAGAACAATGAAATCTGACATTAACTTTGACTAAACGGATAAAATATTTCTCTTAGTGGCCGTAGAAAACAAATTAAGAATAGTTCTCTCTCTTTTCATTAAAATATAGGCTCATTGACATATATTCGATAATTTTCTTTTCTACGTTTTAATGCACACATTAAAAAATGTGATTATTAATTTTTTTAATTTATACTCTATTTTTAAAATATTGGGCACTTCTAGTCCTAAACGTTTAAGAATTCTCAACAAATCACTGCTTAAAGGTAATGTTAGGTTTATAGTGTTTTATTTGACAATGGATTTTAAAATAATTTATTACCTTGATAGGTCGACATTGTTGAAATCTCTCCAGCTTAAAAAAATATTAATAAATAGAATCATAATATTTTCTATTGTTAATAATAATAAATGATAAGTAATCCACTCTAAAAACGTTAGGCTATTGTTTTCAAATTTAGCTGACGCATAAAGACTCATTCTGAGTATTTTCAAAAGGTTATATAGAATATTTTTTAAACACATTGTAATCTATTGAGATTTGTGAAGTCAAGGGAACTCACTCTTTTTGTATTATTTATATTTATAATGTTGTTATTGAGTGATGTCCCTTGTATTTATCTATCGCTTCTTCCTGTTTCGGTTTCCATCATGTTAGCTGAGGCCCAATAAAATCTATATACAAACAGCATGGTTTCTGTCGTCAGTGTTTCCAATCTATTACAACTTGCGACGAGGATAAATCAATCGACTTAAAAGAGCACATGCTTACTTTAAAAAAAAGCTTGCTAGAGCATATTGGCTAAGTATTTCTAGGATAATGGCGCTGTATGGCCAAATAAAAGAATTTGATTCGAATGATGAAACCATTCATGATTATCTAGATAGGTTAAGCTTTTACATTGAAGCTAACGACGTGACGATAGAAGCCAAAAAGAGAGCTGTTTTGTTAACAGTCATAGGGCCTCAACAATTTAGGCTATTAAAGGACTTATGCGCACCAGCTAGTCTAACTACTAAGAGCTTTAACGAGCTGAGCAGACTGCTAACAGACCACCATGCGCCTGTACCATCAAAGTTCCTGTGTAGAGCCAGATTTGACGGTAGGATTCGTCAACCAAACGAGTCAATATCAGAATATGTTGCTGCTTTACGTCATCTAAGTAAATTTTGTGAATTCGGAGACACGCTGTCTGACAGACTATGTGAAAAGTTTGTGACAGGTGTAAACAGCCCTGATGTTCAAAGAAAGTTGCTGCTCGAGTCAGATCTAACATTAGAAAAAGCAATACAACTTGCAACTTCATTCCAGCAGTCATCCGATGCGGCGAGATCTCTAGCACCCTCAGGGATCCATGCAGTAAACAGCAGGTTAGTCAACAAACACCAACCCCATCAGAGCATTTCAACATATGCTAAACATCCTGCACGTTCAAATCCTAGATCTAAATCTAGTAATAATGATCAAAAATGTCGTTGATGCAAAGGTCCCCATGCATCTCATCGATGCAAGTTCAAGTCAGCAACTTGTTATAAGTGCAGTAAGCAAGGTCACATTGCCAAGGCCTGCTTTGCAAAGTCTTCGTCTGTTGCTAAATCTAGCCAGTCAAGACAGGACCGCAACCAAAGAAAGCACTATGTTAACTCTCACCAAGACTACCTAACCCAACCAATAAACCACTCTAACTGTGAAAATGCTCAAACTGATTCGCAGCCGGATTTCAACCTGTTCTCTGTGAAATCAATAAGTCATGCTCCCATCAATGTACTAGTTAATATCAACGATAAGAGCATCAGCTTCCAACTTGACACTGGAGCATCTCTAACAGTCGTCACAAAGAAGGACTTTGACGCTGTCACAGGAGGATCAGTGCCTCTACAACCAATGTCACAAGTGTCTAACAACATACACTGGTGACAATGTTCCGGTGATAGGAGAGTGTATGGTTCATGTAAGCTATAATGGTCAAAGTGTTAAACTTCCTCTTCTTATGGTTGAAGGAAATGGACCACCGTTACTAGGTAGGAACTGGTTAGTTGATCTTAAGTTAAATTGGGAGAGTATATTTTCAGTGAACAAAGCAAGAGAATCTAGTTTTACTTCAATAGATAAAGTAGTATCTGAAAATAAAAGTTTTTGGTAATTCAGGATTACTAAATGATAGAACAGTGAAGATAAGCATTAAAGACACAAATCCAAGATACTGCAAAGCTAGAGTTCCACCTTATGCAATGAGGGATAAAATTGAAAATGAGCTAAGTAGATTAGAATCTAATGGCATCATAAAGAAGGTAGACTATTCCGATTGGGCAACGCCCATTGTGCCAGTGTTAAAGAAGGATGGTTCTGTAAGAATTTGTGGAGACTATAAAGCCACACTGAATAAGCAAATAGAGCTAAATAGGTACCCTATTCCTAACATTGAGGAAATTTCTTTGAATTTGGCAGGAGGAGACACATTCACTGAATTAGACTTTAGTCATGCTTACACTCAACTAGAACTGCATCCAGATTCTAAAGTCTATACGACAATAAACACACATAAAGGACTCTACCAATATGAAAGACTATGTTTTGGTATATCATCTAGCCCTGGAATTTTCCAGGCTGTCATGGACAGTATTTTTAAGGATATTCCAAATGTTTGTGTTTACTTTGACAATGTGTACATAACTGGTAAGAATGACACTGAACATCTTAAAACACTTGATAAAGTCTTGAAAATAGTTGGTGAAAAAGGGTTAAAGATAAACAAAGATAAATGTCAATTCATGCTGACAGAAATTAGTTTTCTTGGTTATATTTTAAGCAAGCAAGGTCTCAGACCTCAACCTGAGAAAACAAAAGCCATTAAAGAAGCACCCAAACCTAAAAATACCCAACAACTAAGAGCTTTTTTGGGCTTGATAAATTACTATGCGAAGTTCATAGGGAATCTGTCTGGTAAACTATCACCACGGTACAAGCTGCTGCAGAAAAATGCAACTTGGCACTGGGGTAAACAACAAGATGCTGCTTTTAAATCAGCAAAAGAAGCTTTGTCTTCTGACACCTTACTAACTCACTATGACCCAGGGAAAAGACTTATCTTAACATGTGATGCTTCACCTGATGGTGTAGGAGCAGTCTTATCCTACATAGATGAAAAGGGTGACAGACCCATTGCTTTTGCCAGTAGATCTTTGAACCAGGCTGAGAAAAATTATTCTCAGTTAGATAGGGAAGGCTTAGGCATCATTTTTGGTGTTAAGAAATTTCACAAGTTTCTGTTTGGTAAAGAATTCACCATCTTTACAGATCTTAAACCATTGCTAGGTTTGTTTGGGGAAAACAAACCCCTACCTGAGCATGCCTCACCAAGAATTCAAAGATGGGCTATCACACTAACTGCATACAATTATGAATTGAAATACAAACCTGGATCTGAGAATAGTGCAGATAGTCTTAGTCGATTACCTTTAAAAAAACTAAAGCCTTAGTTATGTACCAGAAGATGTATTTGTTCTTTTCACTATCATGGATAACTCCAATATAAATGTGAATGATGTTAAGAGAGAAACACAAAAAGATGAGTGCTTAATAAAAGTATATGAGTACTGTAAGAATGGTTGGCCTGAAGAGTCAGTGAATGATGACTTAAGGCCATATAAAGTAAGAAAAACAGAATTAAGTCTAAAAGATGTAGAAGATGCAGTCCATTATCAGTCAGAGTTGCCTAAACAAAGTATTTGTAACTTAATAAATGATTATGGTGATATGGCAATTTCAAATGCTTTTAAAGAGAATACATTAGTAAGAAGGAATGTGATCAGCAAACAACTTTGCTAACATCATTAGCACTTACAGAAACTAAAAGGGTAACATCAAAAGAAAAAAAAAAGATTTTTGCCATTTAATACACCCACTTCAAATACTGGATCACAGTTGCAAATTGATATGGTCCAGGATAGTACTTTTAAACAGTATTTTTGGTTACCAAAAAGCACTATCAGATTACCTGGGAAAATTGATCAATCAAAGAAATCTATGTCAGTTAAGGATCTAAATAACAGCATGATACTTTCAGATGCCAATTCAAAAATAGTTCCATTAAATCATGACAAAACATCCGTTGAAAGAGAATTTGCAGTTAATGAGAATGTGTATCTGAGAAATTATGGGAGAGAGGAAAAATGGATACCAGGTCAAATTGTTCAATGTACAGGACCTGTGTCTTATAAAGTAAAAACAAATGATGGACTTATTGTCCGTAGACATGCAGACCAGTTAAAAATAACTTGTGCAGATAATAAGTGTGAATCTATCAATCCCACCAAATCTGATCAGTTCACACCAACTCAGTTTGTTCCACAATCAAGTTCTGTTGATATGAGTGAACCAAGTAGTCTAGATTCAGAAAATGTAAATTCTGGAATTAATGATTTAGATCCTAGACCTCCTGAGATAGAGAATCCATATGGTCAGAATCTTGAGTCACCAAATCAAAAGCCACTGAGAAGGTCAAACAGGACAATCAAAGTCCCAGATAAGTTAGACCTATGATTTTAAAGGTCAAAAGGACTTTGACGTCATTGTTTTGTATTTTAATTATGTTGTAGCATAGTTTGCATTTGTTTGTAAGGGTGTAATCTACCATAATGTTCATGTTACAATATATTTGGTGATTTTAGGATACTATCAATTGTTCTATTGAGAGATGTGTTGTTGTTTACTAAGGGTAAAGGGATGTAATATATTGAGATTTGTGAAGTCAAGGGAACTCACTCTTCTTGTATTAGTTATATTTATAATGTTGTTATTGAGTGATGTCCCTTGTACTTATCTATCGCTTCTTCCTGTTCCGGTTTCCATCATGTTAGCTGAGGCTCAATAAAATCTATATACAAACAGCATGGTTTCTGTCGTCAGTGTTTCCAATCTATTACACACATTACCTTTAGGTTTTTGGGCCTTTGAGTCATCAGACTTGATGTTGCACAGCTTCTTCAAAGATATTACAACTTCTTGTTTCAGCATACAATAAAATGTAAAAATAAACAGCCCCTGATAGAGAATATGCAGTCAGATAAAATGTGTGCTTATAATTTGTATGGCGTAATTTACGTTTACTTTCTGTTTCATGCTACTAAAAAGATGAACGCTAACTAATATAATACCCTGTGGGCAGGTGCTGTTTAAGAAATGATTACCTCTAGTCAAAGTAAAATGGGACTCATTATTTCAACGTATAAAATATTTCTTTTTCTAATTATCACACCCGATGAATAAAAATATTCATTACATTATGTGGATTTAATAACGTTAGCTTCGATGCAAATATAAGAACTCTGAGACAACGTACCAGGGGTCGATAATTTTATCTTTAGACATTGTATTATATTTTATAGATATATCAATTTAGGTATAAGTTATTTTAAATTGTTGTAAAGACATTTTAAACGCGATAGACATTTATAGTTGCTGTAACTTTAAACAGGTTAGGTATTTAAATGTTGGTGTAACGATAATTTAAACATGCTAGGTATTTAAAATTGTGTAATGACACTTCAAAACAACGAAGCAGAGCTATTACCTGAATTGAATTGAAAATTGCGAAGAGGTAATTGAATACAATTCTAAATTTCCCAAATGCACAGAAAGCAAATATCCACGTAAGACCTAACAGAATAAACAGGCTCGCCGTCGCTCGAAAATTTGATATTGCACTAAAAATAGAAACATTTACTACATGTAATCGATCTAAATAACATATTGAAATATGCAAATAATAGCTACGCTCAAGAAACATTCCGTTTTTCATAAAACAAAATAATGGAAATTCGATATAGACCTGTTTATACACATTTTACAAAGATTAATAAAAACAATATTTTACCCATCTGGTATAATTTAACAAGGATATAAATATTTAAAACCATCAACCCAAAAGCAGCTGTGAATTGAAAATGTGCAATAATTCCCCGAAATAATATAGAAAACAATTCTTAGTAATTTTAAACCATAAATTAGAACGTTATTATTATATTTGTTGTGTAATATTTCTTCTTTATCGGTCTTTCTTTCGACCAGTATGCATACACAAATAAATGATATCTGTTGTTTAAAAAAATGTAGCTAACTACAAACTATTTCATTGTTCTTCTATTTGTAGTATTCGGAGGTTACCTTGAGTTTGTTGTAGACATCTTTTCTATCAGTCGTAAAATCTTTAGAAATACGATGCAATTGACGAATATAATACAAGCCACGGGTGCAATCAAGCCGTAGTATATGGCAGGATGTTTAATCCAACATCTGTTTCATTTCAAATATTAGTTTTATTTAATATTATATATGGTGTATTTGTCTGCGATGTATGTCTTAAAATCAACAAGTAAAATAAAATACGTTTAGAGTTGTAATTGTTAAGTCCCTTGAGAAGTAAAATGTGAAGAATAACACTAAAAGTTTGTAGAACACCTTAAAGAATATCTTAAATTGCATGTAACAAAAAAGCAAACTTACAAATGACTAGATATCAGACCGTAATTGTCTGTTTTGTTTATAGCTAAAGTTATAGCTACAAATATAAATGGTGATCCTAAAGAAAGACAAAGTAAGTATACTATAGCAAAAATAAGTTCTAATATTTTGAAAGTAACATGGATAAATATTTTAAATTTTTTAACTTCAAATAATGCATCATATGAGCGTTAATGTAAAAGCAAAACAACTATTAATATGTTTACACCTTTCTGTTATAATGCAACCATAATAGATTCATAATAGATTTATTTATATTACCCCATCCTGCGAGCGCGCATTTGAGATAAAAATTGTCGATGTATGTGTTAAAAACACGGATCAGCGACAAGTGCATGTGATAGGCATTCACAGCCATCCAGAACATTGCAGCTAGCAGCGAATAGTGCATGCTTGCAGCCAAACCCTTAATGAAGATAAGTAAAAGTAAAATTTTTAAAAGCCTACTACTTTTATTTAAACAAGTTTATTAAAAAGTCTAGTGACATTTAAGCGCAATTTCCTTATGTTATCTAAAAATAGCTCTGTCGTAGCGTAAATCAAGAGCAGGGTTAGTAAAACCATTGGTTAGTTATTAAAACGTTTTTTATTAATTTTCAGTATTTTACATGTTTTATTTACAATAGAGTTACATGACTAAAAACCATTGCGCGCCTACTGAACGTGATGACGCAGCCATTGAACGTGATGGCGCAGCTATTGAACGTGATGACGCGTGTTGTGCGGTTGGATAAATATGCCTACTAATTCGGTCCAAATTTTAATTAATTCAAAAAACATTTTGTGACCGAACGAAAGGATATTTTTGAAAACTTTCTTCGGCAATATTGTTTTAAATTAAATTATGGCAGGAATCGATTGGTACATGTTTCAAGTCGCTAAGTGGTCTGGTTGCCGAGATATGGGTCAAAAACTGCTTTTTCGAGTTTTTTTTTGGCTTTTCCGGGAAATCCATGAAAGAAACCCGAAATTTTTATGGCCTATGTTCATCCTCGTAACTTGCTTAACATAATTGCTTTTGGAACTAGTCATCGATATTGCTTTGTTGAGGAGGAGATACGACTTAAAGCTGCGGACACACATCCATCCATCCATCCATTCATTCATACATTCATACATCCAGCAATGACGGGTAATAAACGCAATTCTCCAGAATGGAAATTGCGCTAAAAAACCCACTATTTTTGCCTGTCACTCCGTGTTTGTCCATTCATCCGTCCGTCCGTCCGTCCATCATTCCATCCATCCATCACATCGATACATTACATCAATCTATTTATCTCTCCATCCATTTCATCTGTCTTTCTACCTACTGAATCGATCGAACTAAGGTTTTGTTTTTGTTTACTCTCCCTCTTTCTCTTAATAGCATGAAAACAATAAGTCCATGTCACTAGCAAGCATATGATTAAATTATATGTAGAACAAACAGAAAAACAGCTGAGCCATACCTTACACCAAACAGCATCCGTGTCATCATTTATTGCAAGGCCCAACAGAAAACATAGATTAAACGCTAGTAGCCCCCAACACATGTTGTAAAGTATCTTAGACGGCTCGTCCCTTCTCAGACGACTGGAGAGTAAGACACGGGTTAGACATATATTTGAGCTAAGTCATGAGGAAGTATGACGGTAAAGTAACAATTGTTTAGATAGGCATTAGAGCTAAGTTATGAGGAAGTATGACGGTAAAGTAACGATTGTTTAGACAGATATTAGAGCTAAGTCAATAGGAAGTATAACGGTAAAGTAAAAAAAAAGAAAAAAATAAGTCAAATATTACATACAATTGTTTAGATAGGCATTAGAGCTAAGTCAATAGGAAGTATAACGGTAAAGTAACGATTGTTTAGACAGGTATTAGAGCTATGTCATGAAGCAGTATGACGGTAAAGTAACAATTGTTTAGGTAGACATTAGGGCTAAGTCATGAAGCAGTATGACGGTAAAGTAACAATTGTTTAGGTAGACAATAGAGCTACGCCATGAGGCAGTATGACGGTAAAGTAACAATTGTTTAGGTAGACAATAGAGCTACGCCATGAGGCAGTATAACTGTCAAGTAACGATTGTACCGCCATCAGGTAACTCCAGTCTACTCTATTATTTTTCTACGCTCACAGCTGATACGTATCGTGCCCGTAACTAAGTTTCCCAGACCCTCTGACAGCTTTGTTCCATTATTTGACTTAATATTTACAGTTACACGATTAAAAATGTCGTTTATTATTATTCTTTCGCAGTTGACGGCGAGGTTAAAATATATTATGTCAGATGTTTGGAATATAATGATAAATTAATTTTTTCTGGAGTTTTATTGTGTCTTAGGTGTTTGGTATGTTTAAAAGAAGAAAAAAAGTCAAATATTACATACAAATATTATCTAAATTATTGTTCAACAATTAGCAAATGTTATGGACCGTTGACAGCTTAGTAGTTTATACCTAAACATGGTGTAGATCAAGACAGTTATAAGCAAAGCTACGAATGAGATGGCACATCCAATGTGCGAAATGTATGACAAAACTTCATCATCAGTGGCGTCCGTAGATGCTTGTCGCTGCTGACCATACACATCCTGAAACGTTTATAGATCTACATTTATTTATACTTTCTTTATCAGCTTGTTAGTCTGATATAATATGACAACTAGTTGTTGATTCTTTATAATAAATGGAAATAGAAAATGCCTAGATTGTAAACCGTTATAGTTTGAAAGACTTTAAGTAAACATAGAACATAAACTGTTAACTGTATTTTACTCTATTCCACTGATTTATTCTACAACAGAATGATAAACCAATCTCCAGCGAACTCATATAAACTAATTGTTTTAGTAAACTTTATGGCTTTATCTATCACCATCACGCTAATTAGTTCAATATTTAGTGATTAACCCAACGTTTCGCACCATGAGTAACGCAAAATTGGTAGCGTGATTACATGTGCAGACAGACATCCGTTCAGTTGTCTGCACCAGGCTACAGCCATCTGACGACCAACTCCCAAAATCGTCGCCATGATGCTTTTTCCAGAAAACGCAGACTGGAGAAACCAACTTCTGAAAAATAAAGACAAATTGAAAATTAAAAACATAATTAATTTAACAAATTTTACCTTTCGATAATCATTCACATCAGGAAAAAAATCTATTTGAAGAGAAATGTTTCTCTTCTCAATATTAGACACTGGGTGCCTTATCAACAAGTCTTTTATAGTATGAGAGATCGTTCACAAAATAAACTAACAAAACTTTGGCGAAGTTTCTTGTAAAAAGTCACCCAGCCATCTAAGCGGCAGACATTATACAATTAAAAATTCAAAGCTAAATTAAAATATGATGTCGGGCCGGTCACAGTTACTTACGGTGTTATAGTGAGTAAATCCTATTGTGACGTTGTCGTGGAGTTTTGTCACTTCTTTGTTTGGTGTTATAACTGAAAGGATCTGGCTGTTTACTATCAAAGAATTGGAGCGGTCTTGAACCTGGAATTGAACATGAATTACACGTGCAAAATATTATTTAAAAATCTGATCTTTTAATTAACTGCTCATCTGCTGTTTTTTTGTTTGCTCATTTTCATTAATGATCATGGTTAGGAAAAATAGTTTATGTAAATTGAAAAAAAAAATGGAACCTAACTGCGAATAGCTTGTCAGACAGCTGAATAACAAACGATAATCGTGTGTTTTGCTCGATAAGCTCTCCTGTGCCAAAAATACTTTCAAGGGACTTTACGGGTATATGTATGGACGATACACCTGGGGTCAGCGTCATGGAGTCGCAGTCGAGGTTTCCGTTTATCTGTTGGATAAAAATAATGACAAATTTAATGCAAGATAAGTGTTTAAATACATCAAGTTTTGTAATATAATGGGGTATTGTTGTTACGTAGGATTAATAATGAAAATAACTTCAGCATTTTTCAAGCAAGAAATTATTTAGTGACGTAAAAAGTTAACCGATTGACAAGATAAACAATTGGTTGGTCGATTTGGGTATCCCAATGATTAATTTTTCAAACTCGAATACCTGCAATGTTTTTATTTTTATTTTTGATATCAACCAAAATAAATAAGGATCGGTGTATATAACAAACTTAATTTAATTTTAAAATGATGTTTTTCTCATATTAACTACGATATTAATTTTTGTGTGTTTAAACTTTGTTGTTTTTAAAATTGACGTTTTACCTAGATTTAGCGTGTATTTGATATTTTGTCTTTGTTTTTAATTTACTTACACTTAAATAAGCTTAATCAATTTATTATTATTTTTATAATTCACTCAGAGTTAAGATTATATATTCAATCATTTTTTTTTAATTTTACTGACTTATTAGACTTGATTGAATCCACCCAGGAGAGCACTATGGTGTTACCATGAAGGTGCAGCATCAAACCTAGTGAGGTATCTAAATAGCCTCTACCTTTTCCGTGGTAAGGTCCGTGTGTGAGTTGGATAGCACTGTTAACTCGAAACCTCCCAGCCGACTTGCGTTCATTTGATAAGACACAATGGCGATTGTTGGCTCGACGTGTTTGTACATCCCTGACGTCAGTGAAACTTTATTCGATACACTTTCTATTATCTCAAGTACTCTGAAATTTTTTAACATTTTTGGCCAGAGTTTCTTCTAGGCAAATCTTTTGGGTAGCCGAGCCCCCCCCCCCCTCCCCGAAGAAAGTCTATCCCATACCCCCCCCCCCCCGAACAAAATGGAATTTATACAGAAAACATATACTTTTACCAGTGCCCCCCCGGGAAAATGTTGTTCGCCCCCCCCCCCCCGGAGAAAAAAGTCTGGAAGAAACACTGTTTTTGGCTGCACAGAAAAAATGTGAATGTTTTAAAGATAATAGTGTTTTTACGGAACAAAATGTTTTAAAAGATGATTGTTCAGGAGACTTGTCAAATCGCATGAAAAGAATATTTTCTGGATTGGCTAAAACCACCAGCATATACCAGTAGTTCTCATTTCCAGGTACACTTTCAGGCACGGATATCTATAAAGCACAAACTGAAAAAGTATATTTCATCTGTTTTTGTTATAATGGCGTGAATTCAACTCGTTAGTTGAATTTTTAAACTGCTTCTTATATTATCTATTTATCACTGTTTTTATTCAACGCGTTTTTAATACATGTACAATACGATTAATTTATTATGTAGTGCAACATTTTTTAGCACTAAGTATTTGATGGTGATATGATAGATGATCTCAGGAAAAATTATCTAGGACAAAATATCTCACGGAAAAATGGTATCAGGATAAATTGTCTAATGCTTCCATATAAATTGCTATTCCAATTATAGAATTTGAAATTATTTTAGTGTATTAACATTAAAAAAAAGGATTTTACTTACAATTTTTACACATAATAATTGTGAGAAAAAGTTTGTCTCATAGGTATGTCACATTACATTAAATATATGAAAATTACAAATACAAATATAATATTTGCAGATTCAAAATATGTTTCGATAGACAGTGTAGATCATTAGTCATGAGATAATTTGTCCTGAGATAATTTGTCCTGAGATCATTTGTCCTTAGATCATTTGTCCTGTGATCATTTGTCCTGAGATCATTTGTCCTGAGATCATTTGTCCTGAGATCATTTGTCCTGAGATAATTTGTCATGGAACCGTTTTTGATAGGTCAAATGAGATTTCTATAGAATGCCGGCCTTTACTCTTGGCTGATAACGAACAGGTACGCACCCAAACACACATATATATAGGTATATATGATGATATATTTGATATATATGATATATATATGATATATATATACATATATATATATATATATATATATATATATATATATATATATATATATATACATTTGTATTTGTGTGTGTGCATATAGCTAGTTACTTATGTTTATTGTAGATCTAGCAGCACTTACCTTCCCGCACTGCTACCATCTAGCTCTAATTTCTCCAATTCACCAATGCTGAGCAAAATGTATTCTGCGACACCGGGTGTCTTGAGTATGGTTTCCTCTGTCAAATATTCCAGCTCACGGATGAATTGCACGATATTTGTGTTGTCCGTTATGTTCAGAAACAACTCGGCTTGAGCTAAATTGTCTAAATTACGCGTGTGTTTAAGTTTTTATTTACGTCTCACTTAAATATTTTAGATTTAAAAGTTACACAGTACCAAAATGCAAATAGACAAAAGTACTTTGTTCTATACTGATATTACTCACTGATGTTTTGAGTGGTGGTATAAGGTACGTGTTCCTCTACAACCTCACCCCACTTTACAATGCCATCTTCTGCGATGCTTTATATCATATGACAAAAAAAACGCATTAAAAAGTTTAAAAAATACTACTCAATCAGAATTCATTTGTATGTGTTATTCTTATTAGTTAATAACGTCTTGAGAGTAATTCTTTAATAAGTAAAATGTTTACCATTTCGCTTTCAATTGCAGAATAGAATCTGGCAATGGTATGTTTTGAATCCGAGTTTCGCCTACATAAGACTCATTATATTGTAAAGTATAGTTCATTTTTTTAATTTCAAAAGCTGGACAGTGTATGCTTTCTGCAAACAATTTAGAAATATATTAAAAATAGTTTTACTTTCTCGTATATACGAAGTATAGAGAAAGTATTGTAATCGTGCAAAAAAAAATCCAGTTTTTACAAATCTCGACGTTTTACACCTCACTGATACGGAAAAACATAATTTTGCAATCTTGTCCGTATGTCTGTGTGTCTGTCTGTGTGTAAACACGATAACTTAAGTACAGTTACAGCTAGGTTGATGAAATTTCATATATAAGTATTTTATAAAAATCGTAGATCCTGATCAACTATTAAGCGATTTCCGATAACCGGAAGTGGTACTTTTTCTACTTTAAATTTTTCAAAAGCCTATAACTTGAGTACTATTTCAGATAGATCAATGAAATTTCACATGTAAGTAAAAGATCTAATTCTCTACCTTCTGTTAAATGTTGAGTAATTTCCGTTGACCGGAAGTACTAATTTACGCTATTTCCGATTTCTTAGAAAACGCATGTAAATTTATAAAGTACTAATAATATTGCGCACTTACTATTATGCACATTTTGTTTTGGCGTTCGCTTGGTGCGCAATTCTTTTTTCTATGAGATTCTATTCTATTTTTAAAAGTTTAAGTAATTCAAAATTATGTCTATATTCCAAGTTATATAAGAATGTTCGAGAAAGTTTAGGGGAGATCACTCCCGGTTTATTTTATTTAAATTTTATTATTCACATTTTTATATTTCTTTGCGCTAAACACGGTTTTGAAACTAAAGTAAAATGAACAAGACATATTAGTAAATCCACATAACTCTTATCCATATAAATTCGCTTGGTTTTAATTTAGTAAAAATGAAACTAACCTGGATCGGACACGAAAATAGAATCCACATCCACACCAATCCACATCGACTCACTTGGATTTAGTGCACTTAGCTCCAAGTCTTTCTGTATTGTAAGTCTCGTGAGCTCGAAGCTAAATGTGTTCACCACCGTGGCTTCCATGTGGATAATATAGAGGTGCTTGCCATCTGACGTTAAGCTAAAACATGCACAAATCATCGCCGTTTTTTCTTTACATTCTATGTATTTATAGCAGTCATTAACTAAACCAACTGTTAAATGATCTTCATTAATGTTTATTGTTTTTTATTAAACACAGAGCCCTATATATAATGCAAATGAAGATTTAAAAAAAAGCAGTTTAAATTAGAAATTGTATGGTTTATTTTGCACAGCTATAGTCACAGACCAAAATATTATATTTATAGTTCTAAAATTTGTTTTTAATGACTATTAAAATGTGAATGTAAGACCAAGCAAAATACTATACACCGAGCTTTTTGATTTTTCTTTTTCTTCTTCGTCCTTGATTGCAATGTTTGGAGGTGATTTCCTCCAACAAAATTCATGATTACATGTCAACCTGTTATGCGTCATATAGATAGTTGACTCCTCGAATTTATCCTTCTTGGGTTCTCTTTTAAATCATTTGT